AGTGTCCAGTCAGTGTGTCTGTACTGTATTAACCCCTCTCTCTCAGTGCAGTGTTAATGTACTGGAGTATCTAGGCAGTCCTGGTAAGTAATAACCTGTCTCTCTTTCTCTCAGTGTATCATGTCATCTTTATCTACTGCGCTGTCCAAGGGAAGAGAGGATTCCGGTTCTTCTACCTGCCTTACTTCGAGAAGTGACATTTGAATTCTTAACCTTTGACCTCCAAGACATGTTTGAACTCTCACCTCTCTGTGACATCTTTGATGTACATATTTGTTTAAAACACATCTTCACTATGGGTATTTTCAGTTTTTATGCATTTACATTTATTCTGCATTGTGTCTATTTTGAACTGCAGAATAAAAGTAAATTCAAATAATAGTAATTCAGGTTATCTGTTCCTCCTTCTCTGACACATCACTTTCACCGTAAAGTCTGGAGTGTCTCAGACTGCTCTGTTAGTGTCAATTCAGTATGATTATAATCTCACTTAATAACTAATCCAGCTAACAGTAAAGTCAGTCCAATACAGCCTGGAGTGTCTCAGACTGCAGTCATTGTCACTGGGAGTCCAATTATAGTCCCAGTTAATAACTAATCAAGATCACAGTAATGTCAGTCCAGTACAGCTTGGAGTGTCTCAGACTGCTGTCAGTGTCACTGGGTGTCTAATTATAATCCCAGTTAATAACTAATCAGTATTTTACCTAATTACTGTATTTCTACTTTTTCTTTTTGTTTTTGAGTTTCCTGTTTTGATTTTAATATTGCAATGATTCATTCGGGAGTGTCGTATAGCACAATCATGGGTTTTATCACTACAGTGGAAAGGAATGACTGGCTTCTTCCAGTGTCCCTGTTCATGAACTTGTTGTGTGATTCCTTAATGGCTCTGATGTACTGTGGAACAACCACTGAGTGTCTGTCTGTGGGAGTGACTGTCTGTCTGCCTGTTTGTGTCTCAGTGTGTCTGTCTGTCATTTACAGAGTGAAAACTTCATGTCTCTGTACCTGTGCCAAAATAAACTGAGGATGAAGCTGACAATAAAAAACTGAGAAAAATAAAAAATGATCTGTGTATGGGGTTTGACTTGCTTCTGTTCTGCTGGCCGGTTGTGATCTTGGCAGGTACCAGCAGAACTCAGGTTGGACGGGTTATGGTCCCCTGTGTGGACCTAGAAGCTGTCTGGTGAATGAAACCTTCAGATCTTTCTCAGAGTGAAGCTTTAAAAAACGTCCCCCTGCAACCCAGTGTGCTGTGAGGGGCTGTGTGCGTCAGTCTGGACCCTGATGAGAAGACCAAAGCATGGAAGGGTGGGTCCGGTAGAGGCAGGGGTCAAGAGGGTCTCGGATCTTGTTACAGGTTGGTCGGGTCCAGTAGAGCTCTCCCAGCGAACAGAACATGACATGGAGAAGTTCCTCAGTCTCTAGTGGCTCCCTGACGACCCCCATCGGGGCTGTCTCCTGTCTTCTTCATTGTCAACCTCACTGGTTTCGCCATTGATGGGTCGGACCTTTGGTTCAACACAGGTCTCTCGCTTTCGAATGTTCCCATGTGGACAGTCCTGTCTCTCTCAACACCCGTCTCTCACTGTCGGAGGTTCAGTTCCATCTGTCCCTCTTGGTACCGGTGTCTCGCTTTCTGGCGTTCGGTTCTGTCTGTCCCTCTCAGTACCTGTCTCTTGGTGTCTGAACTTGAATTCTGACTGTTTCTGTCGGTACTGGTCTCTCGCTGTCAGGCCTTCGGTTCCTCCTTCTCCGTGGCTTTGTCTGTTTGTTGACACAAGTCATCTCCAGAGCCAGTGTTTTGAGAATACCTCTGTGGATGTAAGCTGAGTCCCCAGTCACCTGCTCCAGGACTGGCTCAGGAATTGCTATAGGTATTCAGTGAAGGCAAATGATGTTACAGACCCTTTTCAGTTGGAACAACGGGCTGAGTGCCCTTCTCTTGTATCTAACCTTTCTTATGGATCCCCCTGAGCATTCAAAATAAAAGTTGTGAGTCTGTGATGGTGATTCTTTACAGGTTGTTTCCTCTTGGACATAGGCTAAG